AGATATATGCCCAGGAGTGGGATTACTGGGTCATATGGTAAGTCTATTCCTAGTCTTTTGAAGAATCTCCACACTGTTTTCCACAGTAGCTGTACCAAACTGCGTTCCCAACAGCAGTGTAGGAGGGTTCCCTTTTCTCCACAGCCTCTCCAGCATTTGTCATTTGTGGACTTTTGAATGATGGACATTCTGGCTGGTGTCAGGTGATACCTCATTATAGTTTTGATTTGTATTTCTCTGATAATTAGTGATACTGGGCATTTTTTCATGTGCCTATTGATCATTTGTATTTCTTTCTTGGAGAATTGCTTGTTTAGGTCTTCTGCCCGTTTTTGGATTGGGTAGTTTGCTTTTTCTTATTAAGTCATATGAGCTGCTTATATATTCTGGAGATCAAGCCTTTGTCAGTTTCATCTTTTGCAAAAATTTTCTCCCATTCCATAGGTTGTGGTTTTGTTTTGCTTATGGCTTCCTTTACTGTGCCTGGGGACTGTTTTCTTTCTTTAAGACCTGGAGCTGGATCTAAGATGCATCTTTCTTGTGTCCTGGTATCCTTGGGACATTGACCTTCCCAGGGGTTAGTACTCTTGGGGCGTTACTGAGTATCACTTCTCCCTCAGGTCCAGAGCCTCAGAGTTCATTCTGTACAAGTCCAGCTGGAGATGAAGGGCTGCTTTCCCAGATCAGGGATCATCTTTCTTCCTATCCCCTCTTCTAGGACTGGTTACTGTGGTTTCTTTTTTGCAGCCTTCCACCATCCTAATCAAATTCCCCTCTTCTGCTCTGGAGACCCACCCATGGTAGGACTATCAGCGCACTCCTTTTCCAGGCAGAGTGCAAGTTCTGGCCAGCTGCTGGAGAGCTGTATATGGATGGTATTTGTGTCTGTGCCTGGATCACACTGGGAAGGCAGCCAGCATTGCCTGGTCTCATAGTGGTGGCACTGATGGTGGTGGCTACCTCTGCTGCTTCTCTGGGAGCCCTGGTCCTCAGGGGCATTTGGAGTCTGACTCAGAAAGGTGCTGGCTCCCTTAGGACCAGGGCCAGTTCCTCCTGCTCAAGATTCAAATCTCACTTCCCCTTTTGCCCAGAAGTTGTGGTTTTTCTACCCAGAATCATGCTTCTGGATCACTGACTGTTAGGATCCCATGGCTTGGAGTAGTTGTCCCAAGATCCCAAAAGTTGAATTTCAGTCTTTCAGTTAAAAAGTAATTGACTTTCCTTACCTCCCTGTGTTGGATAGCTCTGTGCAGAGGGAAGACAGTGGGCTGGCACATGCTTTATAAGCCTTGGGCTTACATTGGCAAGAACATTATCAGTGCTCTTGCTGGTCGTTTTCCCACCCAGGGCAGCAGTTGGGGTGGCTTTTGAGTCAGGCAGAGCCCAGAAACTCAGGCCTCCTGCCCCCGTGTCCCTGCCCAGGCTTCCTTAGCGGTGATGTCTCAGGGCTCCCAGGGCAACTTACACATATTTGATTGTCAGATCTTTCTTTACCTGTGCTACAAGTCTGTATTTCTGTCTCCCCATCTAGACTTTAGGCTCCTGAGGGCAGAGAATGCCTTATTCACTTCT